TCATACCTCCCATGTGTAAATGTGATCCCACTAGAATGGATTATTCTGGTTGGGCCATGTTGTTTGGTGGGAAATGTGCTCTCTTCCTCCCCTCGCCACATGATTAGACAGACAATCAAGGAGCCACTTCGATTCAGCGCTTGTTAATTGGATGCTGCACAGAGCATTACGATGCTCGTTGCCTAGCGATGGAATTTTGTGCCCGGATTACTGCATTTAAATGGTAAAAATGCATCTAAAATTACTTGGCAATTACGACCTTTCATCGCAGAACAACTTCGTAACAGGGCCATTACAGCTCTCCGTCTGCAGGTTCCTATCTAACCTTAATGTATAGCAGAAGGTGAATGTAACATTACTTCAACTGCATTCTCCTTTGTTCTCTATCATGTCCGTTTTACTATTTAAAAAGCCCATATTATGTCATATTATGCTGTTTCCTCATCAAAAACATGCCTGGAGCTGTGTTTTGTTTCATTCACACATGTTTAACACACAACCTGCATATTTAGACCGAGTTATTCCCTCAAACAGAAAACCCCCTCTTCTGCCCTGTGATGTAATACACTTCCTGTATTACCACATGGCCATGCACCTTCACTAGAATCATGTGGAATAAAATAATGTGAAATGTGGAGGAGAATAATTTCAGCCCTGAAATGTCAAATTTCTACTAAACAAAAGTACCACTTCATGACATCACAAGGTGTAACAGTGCATTTTGAGCTTTGGAGACAGATGAATGAAACCAAACAACTCCATGTATGTTTTTGACAGCATTAACAACATTATACCATGACTAAAAGATCACAAGAGTCAGTTTTGCAATAAAATTATGAGCAATACATATAATCAGGCCTGTCATAATAACACATTTTGAAGTACAATAGATTGATGTAGACTAACAAAAATATTAAAGCTCAAAACTAGACTAAATGTATAATATTGTTAAAAAATCATGAGCTCCAATAAATAAATACCAAAATGAAACTCCTTAGTTTGTATCTGTTATGAGTCAGTGCAGTTCATAATCCAACCTTTTACATCTTAAATCTTAGCATACAGACAAAAAATAACCACAAATGTCCAAGAAGTGCAAAGAAAATGTACATACGATAAATATTAATTTTCTATTAGCTTTCATATAATGAATGATGAAGTCGTTAAACATAATTTAAATGGGATAAACTGAATCCCATACTGTGGAACATTCAAACAGGTGGTGGGCCCTCTTCTAGAAAAGTTACACAGTGCCCCTTTAAATTATCAAGCCATTTCCTGTGTCCATGCGGCGCTGATGAATGCACATCTATGTGGACAAGTGTGGCACCTGCTCACATCAGACATATTTTATAAAAGATGAAAACATTCTGGCCGGACCACAAAAGCGTCCCTTCCAGCTAATTAGATGCCATTGAGCAGGGTAGCATGCAATCAGCCCTAAATACAATACCGTTGATAAGGTCCACAGTATTCTAGGTACTACTAATATCTTTTTGTGGTGCACTAGTTGGAATTATTTAGCTTCACAGCCAACTGTTTCTTGAAATTTGGTCAACAAAGATTAAAGGGCTATTTCTGGTCTATGTTATAATATTGTTTCCTCATCAAGACCATACTGTACCTGGAGTTATGTTTAATTGACACGTTTAACACACAAACCCTGCATATTTAGGCCAAGTTTTTTGTTCAAATAGAAAACACTTTGTCCCACCTTGATGTCATGCAGTAATCGAATAAATGCTCCACTGCATTTTAAAACTCCATACACCTTCACTAGAACCATTTGGATAATTTCAGCACTGGGAATCGCAATCTCTACTGAACAAAAGGTAAAAGGTAGATTTTAACCTGAAAACTACCACTACATGACATCACAAGGTGGAAGAGAGCATTTTGAGCTTTGGAGATGTAGACAGACCAATAAATCAGGATTACTCCTTCTCTACATGTGTGAATGAAACAAAACACAACTCCAAGTATGTTTTTGATGAGGTAACAACATTATAACATGGCTTAAAGCCCACAAGAATCAATTTTGTGTAATAAAGAACCTCTAACATTTGCAGACTATTACATTTAAGAAACAGAGAAAATGAAAAGCAAAATTATAAAAACCCTCAACAGATATGTAGTGTGTTTAAATACAGACCTTACACAGTGTGATGCTAACAGGGCACGAACAGCCAAGTGAATTTCTGCCAGGTTAGTTGGTATGGATGGAGGGTCAAATGAGTGGCCTAAATGAGGTCTTGACACTGGCCATGAAACAATCAGAGCCTTTTTCCGCCCACCTCCGTAGCCTTGCTGATGTAGAGAGGTCAGCCAATACACTCGTGTGGCACTGGTTACTGCTGACACTAGACTGGGATAGAAGCCATGACATAACCCTGAACCGGCACCCCACACATGGTCACAGCAGCAGAGCAGAGCACACTGGATTACATTAAAGGGAATACTACAATTTTCTGTTATGTGCATATGATTACTATGACATGATCTCATAAAATAGTATGGGGTGTTTTTCAGAAGTGTTACTCAGCACATTTTTATTTGTGCTATAAAAACGTTACAATTACAGACTCATTTTTGGATTGATACTTGAATAATAGTGACTTCCATACACTTCTAAATAAAAATCGCAATCTCTTTTGTAAGGTCTTACACTACTTGCCCAACAACACACCAACAAAATGTACCCGTTGCCCACCCTCTACTGAGCTACTGCCACCGGTATAAGTGGCAGTAGAAGTGAAGAACAGAAAAGGTCTTAATCCCTACTACTGTAAAGGTCTTAACCTCAACTACTGTGAGATATCTGAGAATGCATGAAGAATTAGAGCTATAAAAATTAAGTTTAAAGAGCAAAGGAGATTTATAGCAGAGAGTGTAAGCCAGTGTTCTCAAAAAATTCTCAAAGATGTAATACCAAAAAGCAAACAAACCATTCTGTATGCACAACAGCAACGCATAACTGCAGCTATTTCTTTTACTAATGTGTATAAGCCAAAATGCCTTAGTGAAAAAAAAAAACATTTTTGAATACAAATTCCAGATTTAAAAAGTGCAAATGCAAAAAAAGCAGTTCACATGATAGATACTAGATTATTATTTGGAGAAGAACAAATTTCGGATGTATATAATAACAGGTCCTTTGTGGATATTTTGGTTAAGTGCTAGATGTGTGCATAGTGAAAGCCTCAAACAGATTGTGTGCCTCTGAGCCTGGTTGATAAGCTTCATTGCATTGCCCCAGACGGTGCTGCTTAGGAGAGCAGGTGGTCGTAGCACAGAACAAGCCGAGCTGTACTTTCTAGACTTACAAACTGCCAGGCTCCTCCCCTCCCATACCCCTTTGTCTTTTATTTGTCCTCTTATCATGCTCTATCACACCCTTCGCCTTGACTCACAAATACTGTTCCACCTTCTGTCTCTCCCTTCGTTCCATGATCTGCCTGTCCAAAACCTGGTCTTTAGTGTAGCTATCACCTTTAGCAAAACAAACAAAGAAAAAGGAACTATCTGAGTATATGTGAGTTTGAGTAAATATGCAGGCCTGATATCACCTAGTAAGTTACAGCATAATAAAAGGAATCATAAGGAAAGACTTTAGTAATCCGTCTTTGTAAATCAGTGCTTCCCAACCTTGGGTACAGGGACAGTTTCAGATTTAAAAGATAGATGGAACTGAATCATTGTTCAACCTAAAATATTCTTAGTAATACATTTTACATTCGTACTAATGTTTCTGTATGATAACTGACATAACTTGACATAAAAAAAAACAAAAAAACAAAAACAAGACAATTGTAATAATTGGCAATATTAATTAATTACTAATTAATTAATCATTGCATTTATATGGCGCCTTTCAAGATACCCAAAGCGCTTTACAGTTCATTGTTCTTTCACTCCACATTTGGTGGTAGTAAGCTACTATTGTAGCCACAGCACACACATATCACTAAACAAATTTATAATTGCCAAAAGAAAAACACTAGTACACGATATAGGGGGTACACAAAAATGTGAAAAAAGTTGGGAACCACTGTTCCAGATATTAAAATCTGCCAAACTTAAGTCAAATGATTAAGATAAACTGAAAAGGAATATTGTGAGTTTACTTATATATAACAAAAAGCATTTAGTCTTGATAATGTACATTGTTTAGACACACAGTTCTAGAAGATTATGACAAACATTCATGCTAATAAAATAAAAAAATACAACAGATGAGAAATACGAATATAAAGCAGCTTTGGGTAAAAATATAACTGTGACAGCCCTGGGAGCGACACCACAAGTCACACAAAGATACCTGCTGTGAGCGCGACAAGGCTAAATCCTCTTTGATTACCTTAAACATGGAGATTAGTTTTTCGAGAGAAAACTCTCCCTTAAGTCTGAGTGACAGTGCACAGCTAGTGGGCAGGAGGACAGCGCTGAGAATTTCTCTATTCAATGGTGAAGAAAATTGATATTTTTTCTTTGTTGGTCAACTAGAAAATTGCATGTATTTGTTGGTTTTCTTTCAAAAACAAGACAAAGCGCCATTAAAGATGCTTCATGGAAGAATGTGATTATAAGACAATAATTTGATGTCAACATCAAGTATTTTTTTCGACTAAATAATGATCCAAAATCCAATGCTTGAGTGATTCAGTGTCATTATCATTAGCCAAATGTGCACCATGGTAGAGCATTATTATAATATTTTGCTTGTTAGCAACAAAAACAAAGAGCTCTAGTGGTTTTCAAAATGTAACAAAAATTGATCTTAACCATGGATTCATGCCGAAAAAAAAAATATATATATATTTAAAAAAACAACAACAACAAATTAAAAAAGTAATACTGTCTTAACCAGGTGAGGTTACCACCACCAACTTCCATGAGAGTGTTCAACAACAAAAGAAGAAAACACACTGTTGGCAGTGCTATTTGATCAACAAATACTTGATATGTAGCACAGCATTTACCTCTCTCTAAAGCCCACTTACCTGCAGTAAAATCTTTGTTGAGATCAATAAATGCATTAGAGTGAGGCTTGTGCAGACTAACAGAGGAACTCAATGCACTCTTCCATTCTGGGACCCTATAAAAAGGAATAGGACACAAATAAATAATTGTATCTAATTTAAATACACAAAGGAATAATGGGCAAAAATAGCCTGTGACATGTTTGAACCCCATGGGCGACAGGTAAAATATTACCTTTTGGTGAGATAACAGACTTCATACACAGGGGTGGAAGGGGTACTGGTAACTCCAAAAATGTCTGGAATCATGTCTCCATTGAAGCTGTAGAAAGAGAGAAACAGATTATTTAAAGTACCAAGACCAATGTGTATCTATACATTGTTTCATTGCCAAGCAAAACTACATTATATACAGGATACATATTTTAGGTTGATATGCTTGATACTCACTCCATAATGAGAGGCTGGTCAGTAAAAGTCTTGTTCAGTTGGAGTGAATCACCCAGATCTACAAAGATACAAAATAAAGCATTTTAACAAAAGTAAATTTCAAATTTCAAATGAAATAGAAGCAAACATATATCAATGATTCTGCATTTTTTCCAAAATACATTTAATCAGGTCTGGGGGAAAAGGGAGGAGTCAATTGACCCATTCTCTAGAGTCTAGATTCATTCTGATAATTTCAGCTTTCAAATAGCCTAGACTTGAACATAGACCAAGATATCAGTGCTGCAAGTTAAAAAAGGTACAAAAGGTAGGTCATCCACATAAAGTTTTTTGAAATCAAGATGTTTTGGCTGCCATATTGGAAACCATTAACAATCTGAAAGTACTGGTCTGTTATTGTAAGTACAGTGTATTTGGAATAGAACAAGATATTGTGCAACAAGATCCTGCACAATAACATTGTCACAAGATTGCACAGACATTTGAAAAATGGTCTGGAAAAATGGGTGGACAACTGATGAGTTACAGGTCTTAAAAAGCTTTAGTTCCCAAAAAAGACTGCTAGAATGAATGCCAGCAAAAATATGACATCAAGTAAATCTAAAATTGTAATATAGTATAGTAGCAGTAATGTGATTGTGCCCTATCTTGTGCCCTGTCTCATCCCACCCCTATACTACTATACTTAGCCACATCTCTAAAGCTTCAATCACACCACAACCAAGCCATATCTAAAACATATAAAATTATAATAGAGAATATAGAGCCTTCAAAACATGGTAACAGTGGAACAGTGAAAAAATACGTACCCAGTGTTGTGTTCTTCCCCCAGAAGATGAACACATTCGTCCTATCATTGCTCTCAGTAGTGAGGAGGACATCCATCTGAGAGTCGCCATCATAATCACCCGGAACCACACTGGTGATCACAGCACTGAAACAGAGTGGAAGCTTCATTTTAATATAGACTGAAAGATTTTAAGCAACATGTATATGACTTGTCCCACTTGTCATGCCTGCAGTGCCTGTATGCACCCACAGACAGTGTATATTCTACTCTACAGTCTATCTACGCCCCATATAACCATAGTGATTTTACCTTGAGAGGAGATCCTTAGTGATGCGAACTTTTGGTTTGAAGTAAGGTGTTTTAGGATCAGCCAGGAATATTACCACTTCCGCCTCTGGAAAAAAAAAAAAAAAAACATCAGCATAATATTTAAGCGATTACGTTAGTTAAGGTGCGACACTGAGCACGGAAAAGAAATCTTAACATACAATGAGGATAATGTGCATTAAACCCAGGTGTACACACAATTCAATACTATTTATAACCTAAAAATATCCTTATTGAACGCTTGTCAATACGTACTCTCTCTGATGATGAAGATATCTGTTTGTTTATCCGAGTTTAAATCTCCGAAAGCTGCCACTGTTCCGTGATTTTCAGTTCCAAAAAGGTCAGTCGTTACATCCTGTAGCGCGTACGAGCTACACAAACTCGAACAATAAAATAAAAACATCAAAATATTCACTTTTAACACCCACATCCTGGTGCTACTGCGGATTTTCACAACAGCACCAACTGCTATACGGCAGGATGGTTTACGGCATCTTAAATGTATAGTATTTCGCATAATATTGTTAAAATTCGAAATAATTAAGGGCTTTGAGATACATTATTTGTATTTAGATTTACATTAAGCACAAATTATTCCTATTTTTAGCTGCTAATTGTACTAGTAGAGTGAATTAGGGCTTCCTCGTTTACGTCAGTGTCGTACATGCTCACTGGTTGACAGGTGACCGCTTTCATACAGCTGAAGAGCGTAAGCTCTAACCAGCGGAAGTTTAAAACAAATCTCTTCACAGTAAACGACTCTGGTTTGGTGTCATTGTGTTCTTTTTATTACATTCCGTCCATTATCTTTTACACGTAATATAAAAATTATGATTATAAAAAGATTTAAACACAATCAGTGATAAAACAAAGTCTGCTATTAAAGACCGCTGCCTTAAAAATAGATGGGGACTTTATTTTGGTAGGTTACAGCAGAAGCCTTTGTAGATTGTCGTAAATTTAACCATTTGATAAACATGGCGAGCCTCGCAGATGTCGGATGGAAACTTATGGAATTTAAAGCCCGATCCAAAAGATCAGGTCTGCGTTATGCCTTTGCATGTCATTGCGCTGTGAGACCGTAATGATTTTTGTGTTGGTTGTGTAAAGACGCCTGTTCGCAAGTGTCTATTACTGTATGCGTGTGTTTCATCATCAGTTTGACCAGAGACATAACCGTGCATGAAAGGTCAGAGGTAACCAAATGTGCGCCACTTACAGGCTATTTAAAGAGCTTCTTTGGGTTTTTATCTCACACACTGCGATGCACTGGTTGCCATTGTCCATGTAAAGTGTGCTTCTGGGAGAGACAGGTGGACTGTCATGGCCTTAGAATGAATGGAGAATTTAGACTACAATAATAGTTTAATGCAGAGGTGTCCAAACTAATGCGGCCCTCAGACCTGCAGTTGGCCCAAATGATTATAAGCAGATTTTTTTGCTAGCAATTTAGGTGTTTCTACAACTATAACCTCAATAATATATTGTATTATTATACAGGCCTAAAATCTGTGTCCCAAGCCTTTTCAAAGGTACACTGGCTCTATAAAAATATGTAAAATCTTCCATCTGCGGTTTAGGCCAGCAGTCTTCAGCCCTCCACTATCAATATGTTTCCATATGTGGCCCTCGGTCAAAAAAGTTTGGACATCCATGGTTTAATGGGACCGATTTCTGAAGTTTACCATTGATGACAATGACAACATTACTTAAATTTATGTATTTACTTATTTGTTATTATTATTATTATTAGTATTATTACTACCATTTGTCCACCTGTAGTCCTCATAGTCCTCAAACTTACTGTAGACAGTCTGTTCTATTTGTAGTTAATGTCTAATTATTTTTCATTTTTCAATTTTCATCTATTAATGATCATACATCATGCACATTGTGTTAATTACGTAGGTGTAATGTTCATTACATTTATAATTCGCCTATAATTCCTCAGTGTTCCTCTTCTCTAAATATATTGTAATCTGTGTTGATTCATGCATGTATCCAATCAAAGTCTGTTCTACTAACGCCTTCCTCTGAATTGCTGTAGATTTGTGATTTTTCTTGGAGACGAATGTTAATTCACCTTTTTGAGCATGACTGAAACAATGGCCACAAATGCACGGGCCCTCCGCAAAATCCGGAGAATCGGTAAGTAGATTGTGCAAGAAAAAACACCCTTGAGGCTGCTTTTCTTTCCATTCGTTGAAGTAAAAGATGTCCAGTTTATTATTGTATATTATTTAGTTATCTGGATTGAATAGGTCTATTGTAATGCTGGTGATGGGTTTTTCCAAGTCTAACCACAATCAGAAACACAGTGGCAAAAACCTTTGAATGCTCTTGTTTAAGAAATGTAAAATATGTGTTAGCCTTAAAGAGAGGAGATGGATTAAGCTTTGTTCCCCACAACTTTCAAGATGATGGAAATTATGCTAATTTAAGTGACAATGTGAATTTTTCTGTACCTGTGGTTTTGACACGAGGTCGAAGCTATTAAAATGCAAATCTCCAGTGAAAAGTGTCTGGAAAAGCATCATCTGCTAAGAATGGGGTTTCCTGGAAATGGGAAAAATGTAGTGGTATTTAGCATCATTAGTTATTCATTTTTATCACCATTTTAATTAGGCAAATATTTCATATGATATGTGTGGTATGATATGGGATTATGCAAATGTTATCTGCTTTGAATAAAACTGAATTACGTTTTCTCAGGCTCCATTTATGAACCACTGAAGCTGTCCATTCTACAGCGTGATGATGAGCCCTTGTGGGAAAAGTTAGATCGCTATTACAATGCTGGTAAGTACTGTGGACTGTGGAAGTACAAGTACCTTTAAAAGTAGTGCTTTTAAAGTAGTGCTACAGCGATTAACATTTATTATTTACCCCTCATTCCACCACTTTCATACACTGTACATTGTTGCTTTTTGGCTGTTTTTAATCTATAAGTACTGGAATTAAAACGACACATTTTAACTTAAGAAGTGTACAAAGGTGGCGGGTCTAAACTGTAAGTGTAAAGCATGGAACTGCACTTGATTGCTTTACTCAAATAATTTTGTATTTATTTTTTTTCTTGATAATAGACAAAAAATGTATAAGTATACCTTTGTATAATTTCTTGTTTAGAATTACAAGGGAAATCCCTAGAAATAGACACGGAAATGTCCTTATATACTTAATTTAATTCTGGTGGTATTCTTGAATCCAAATCTTTTATTTGACACGACTTGGTGTGAAAGTTTGAGAGCCACTGCTGCAATATTGCAATTGAAGATATAAGTCTAACATCAGGCTTTTTTCCTATTCCTAACATTAATTGTATTTAAATGTGTTCCAGTATATGCATTGTATTGTGTTCTCTCAGAGGTTTGCCCAAATAAGGTGGCTACTGATAGCCCACACACCTCAGTGAAAAGTGAAAACACGTCTGAGTTATGGGGCGCTGATGTTGCCTGTGTAGCTGTCATCAAGCTGCATGGAAATTTAT